ATGAATGAATGAATTAATTAATTAATTAATTAATTAATTAATTTGTGAATGAATGAATGAATGAATGAATGAATGAATTAGTGAATGAATGAATGAATGAATGAATGAATGAATGAATGAATGAATGAATGAATGAATGAATGAATGAATGATGCCAATGTAAGATGTCAGTTTGATGTGTTTAATGTTGTGAACAAATGTCTTTTTTTTTTTTTTACATCAAATTTCTTGCCGGGTACCAAGTAAACATATTGTCAGCAGTGAAAAGGTGACCCGTACTGCTAGAAACGAGGCATTACATTTGCATTATTCAGTGCATGAGTGGACTATTCAAAAGCAGGCTCTTCCAGTTCAGTCTGATAACAGTGCACACGTCACAGTCCTATCATGAACAAGCCAATCAGAGCATTCCAACATGTGCCTGCACTGCAAAAAAAAAGGCTTTTCTTAGAGTTTTTATCTTGTTTCTAATCCAAATATCTAAAAATTCTTAAATCAAAGGCATTTTATAGATGAGAAAAGCATATTGTGTTGCTTTCAGAAATAATGCATCAAAATTAAGTGTGTTTTTGTTAAATAATCTGCCAATGGAGTAAGCAAAATAATGTTATTTTTGTTATTGCTGCAGAGCAAACCAGTCGAGCAAGCAATCACTAGCTATGTTTAGTTAGTCAAAGAGAACAAAATTGTCACTATCTGGCGCCAAATATAAACAGTAACAGAATTTACTGCAGTAGCAGAAGCTGCGTCAATCTTTTCTTCATTTAATACATGACTTCAGAAGACAATCCTGACATGCAGTGAATGCGTGGTGGCATTTGAAGCCATGAGACGCAGAGCACATTTCAGATGTTTTGCAGTGTGCTCAGCCTGCTAGTTTATCCATTCACACACATTTTTATCGTCACTTGATCTCTTATAACAAAATCACATGACTTATACTGAAATATGTTTGGTAAAAGTGTTTCCATCGTAGTTTATGCGGTGAAAATCAAGACGGAGTTCCTAAAGAATATGAACAATGACAGATTTACAGATTAATGATCAAATAAATGAAGCAAGAATGCAGGTAAACCAATAAAGTCTCTGATCAACAATAAGACGAATGCTCTGTTGACTGAGGTTATCCACTAAAGTCAGGGACGGTTCAAAGAAAGCAGAACATTACAGCATCACAGAAGAGAGATTTACTGATCAAGAACAATAGACACATCAATGACAAAATGTCAAGTTATACAACATGTAATGTACAGAATAAAACAGGACAAGCGCTTGAAACCAGAGTAAAATCATCACAATATTAATAATATTGGCCAATAGTGGAATTGAAATTGATTTTCAGGGCATTTCTCACTATATGTTTATTAATAGTCTCTATGTGTATCAACATATGCACACAATTCAAAAGCAACATTCAAAAGCTTGTCTAAAATAATAAACTCAGCTAGGAGTGTGTGATATTCCTTGTCTACAATCCTTTTGGAAAATGTTTAAATATATTTATACAACAGTTCTGTCTGATTCTTGAATCTGATTGGCTGATATCTGTGCGATATTTTGCCAGTAACATCACACAAAGGCCTCTTCACCCTTCACCTCTGTGTGTTACTCCGCCCACAAACAGCAAGCAACAAGCAGGCTACAGTTTGACAAATATTACTGTTGTTAGACAACAAAATGTACTTTTGAGGCACTTTTGTACGTTTTTAGTCAAGAATGTAGCTGTTTAGATTGCAACTATGCAGTTTATTTGTAAGAATAGTGCCTATTTTAAAATATTTACAATTTCTGAGACCTCGTCGACGGCCAAAGTTAATGTTGTCTATCCACAAGATGGCACCAGAACCGCATAATAAGCCCTTGCTCAGCGTATTCTCTTGAGCGCAAATAAAAAGCTGAAAAACGGAAGCCTCGTGGTTTTAAGGGTGGACCGGAGTCAATTGGAAGCTGCGAATAAGAAGCTGGATTCAGCCTTGTCCCTTCTTATCGCAAACACAACAGCAGTCTGGTGAGAAATCTCTGTAGACGGATGGCATTTCATGTCACGTTCAGCCTTATAATCTTAAAATGTGAGCAAAATTTGCTGTTTTGTCATCACCTTAAGGAGATCACACACCAGAAGCACCTCTTCTCATTACGCTATAGAGAGTCGTTCAAACACTAGCTCTACAGTGACGCTGGTGAATTAGTAACGGCTTCTGCTGTTTTGACGTCAGCTGCAGATGTGAATGAATGGTGGAAGAAAGTAGTTCCTAATACAAAAGGGGTTTTCACTCTCTGTGTTTGATTTTCTTTTTTATGTACAAGATTGTGCCGTCGAACTGTTGTAAAAACACAGTATCACACGAGTAGCAGTGTGCTATGGCTGTATATCCAACCCTCCGTGGCCGGAGGTACGTACGGCTGTGTTTAGTTTTTTTCGAGTGAACGCTGCGGGGCGGTGTGGCGCTGCTCCGCTCCTCCTCTTCGCGCTCGCCGGCCGACGGCTCGCCTCCGAGTGGAGGACTTTCCCTATGCAACCAGTTTGTCTGCTTAGCTCGCAGCGTTACGTCGGCAGAGCGGAGGCCCAGAGGAGGAGGAGCGGGCTGCGGGGACGACCGGGATCGGGCCCGGGGAAGAGCGGTTCCGGAAATCAGGTAAGATCTATCCCTGTACATATATTCATATATTGTAACATATACACTTGTAATCATGTTCATCTATCTGCACACTACTGATTATTAATAGCAACCTGCACATATATTCATATATTGTAAATCTGTTCATAGCTTATCCAACCTGTATATAATGTTCATAGTACATCCATCTGTAAATATCACCATAGTTTTCTATAACTGCACTTTATAATTTATTCCTGTATCCTGCACTTGCTGCTATTGCACTGCTGGTTAGACCTAAACTGCATTTCGTTGCATTGTACTTGTACATGTGTAATGACAATACAGTTGAATCTAATCTAATCTAATCTAAGATGAAAAACAGAATTCGAAAAATAAGGGCGAGAACACGGCGGGATCCGAAAACGTGGTCGAAATCAAAGACGAGGGCTTTTGCTTTCTTTTTCTGGATGGCTTTTGCAAACCGTCACTTGGGTTCGGTCGTTTAGCCGGCCAGTCGGACGGACGGTCGCTCCACAGCGGCCTCCGGCGGCTTTTCGTGCGAAAACAGCCCGAGAGGCGTCCGAGACGCGAAAAAGCGCCCACAGTGGCCTCTCGCGGATCCGCAAAAACAAAAACTGCTCGAATACGGACCTCCTAGGACGTATTTCGCGGTCCGCAGAAACGTCCGCAGGGCTACGTTTCCACAATGAGCCCGGGTTGTGTATATCAGCACGTGCCAACGCACGTCTTCCACCAGTGCTGATATACAGCCATAGCACACTGCTACTCGTGTGATATTGCTCATATATATATATATATATATATATATATATATCACTCACACACTCACACACTGAATGTATCTAATTACTTAGATTAATAATTGAGTATAATACACACTGTTGTTACTATATACTCTTGATATTGTGAAAATGACTATTGATGTTCATTTAAATTAAACATAGGCCAATGATATACTTGTTTTGTTTGTACATTATTTTTGTGCACATCCAAATTCCTGTGTTTAAACAATATTTGTGTACGTAATTTTGTGCTTGTACATATTTTTGTGTACAGAATAATTGCGTTTGCACATAATATCTGTGTACATAATAATTGTTGTAAAAGTGAAGAGGACTCTATTATCACTGGGCGCCGTCTATCGGATGAGACGATAAACCAAATACTGACTCTCTGTGGTCATTAATAATCCCATTGCACTTCTGGTAAAGAGTAGAGGTGTAACCCCTAGTCCTGGCCAAATTCCCTCTCGGCCCTCATGGCCTTAATCATCCCCATCCACTGAATTGTCTCTATCACTGTCTCTCCACTCCACCAATAGCTGGTGTGTGGTGAAGCACTGGCACCGTTGTCCTGTGGCTGCCGTCGCATCATCCAAGTGGATGCTGCACACTGCTGGTAATGGTGTGGAGAGACCCCCCCTCATGATTGTGAAGCGCTTTGGGTGTATGGCAATACACAATGAATGCGCTATATAAATACACATTACATTACGTTTATATATATATATATATATTTGTGTACATTATAATTGTTGTTTTTGTACATAACATTTGTGTCCATAATCATTTTGTGTCTGCACATTGTTTTTGTGTACTTAATTAATGTGCTTGCATATAATATTTGTGTACCTAATAATTTAGTGTTTGTGCATAATGTACTGCATTAATAAACTCATCTGAAACACATTTGATTGGTCAAAAATGTGTACAAATAAATGTGACGGAGCATGTAAAGTCATGAACTGACACTCTTCATTCATTTTCATGTTTCACTTTAATCGTAACACTTAAATAAAGGTTGTTTATTGTTATCGATGGTCCCAATTAAACATTATTTTTAGCCCTCACTAATGATTCTGCTAATAATAAGAGATTAAAAACAAGCTGCTGTGTCATAATCATGGCAGAAATTCTGAATACAATACTTTGCATGTACTTCTACCATATATAATAATGCATCACTCTCAGTGAAGAGGTCATGTGATCAAACACACACATATAATAACACAGATCCCAATAAAACACTCATTTAGAAAAACAAATCAATCTTTAAATCTATATGTCTATTATTTATAATAAATAGTTCATTTTCATCATTAATACATCTTAATCGAATCATTCTTTCCCCTGAATAGCAGGTCTGTTCATGCAAAGAGATTTAAAACAAGCAGCTTTGTCATAACCATAGCAGAAAATAAGCTCACACTTTACAATAAGGTTCATTAATGTTAATTAATGCATTTACTAACATGAACAAACAATGAACAATACATCTAGTACTGTATTTGTTCATGTTAGTTAACGTTAGTTAATGAAAATACAGTAGTTCATTGTTAGTTAACGGTGCATTAACTAATGTTAACAAGCATGGACTTGGATGTTAATAATGCATTAGTAAATGTTACATTATGATTAATAAATGCTGTACATGTGTTGTTCATGATTAATTCATGTTAGTAAATGCATTAACTAATAAACCTTATTGTAAAGTGTTACCGAAATTAAGATGAAAATATTTTGCATTGTATACTACTTATATCCCATTCTCAAGATAATAATGCAACCAAACACTAAATAATGTGACAAAAAAACCCCAAAAATAATACAAAGTCTAAGAAGTCCTCCTCCTAGAATAAAACTATAGTTATAAAACATGACCAACACAATGATAATCCTCTCGAAATGCTCTGTTTGTGGCTCTTTTGTCCCTTTGGGCTCTTCTTTTAAGGGGTAGTTCACACAAAAATTCAAATCGTGTCATCATTCATAGACAAAAAAAAAGATATTTAGAAAATAATCCAAAAACTGGTAGCCATTAGCTGTTTTTATCTACCTGTTGTTGTTTACATCCGCCTATTTTCATGTGCATTGTGAAATATTGTATACAAATGCTTAATGGAAACACTAAGATGTGCATGCATTTTAAAAATGTGCATAAAAAGTTACGAGCACAACTGAGTAGGATAAACTGTATATTTGATAAGATAAAATGTGCATGACAAATGATGTAAACAGATTAAATGAATAAACACAATATTTAAATGTGCATGCTCTTCATCAGTATGCGTGATGTGATTTAGTTTTTCACCGATATAAACGTGTGTGTTCAGAGTCTTTGCATTAATAAAGTTTGCAGCTTTACATGTTTCCAGCATTGTAAAATATCTGAAATGTCATTTTTCTGATTGTAAAAGGCCTCAGCACTCCGTCAGTCCGCCATCACAGTGCTTCAGTATTATTCTTCTTCTATTATTATTCCCTCCAGAACTGTCTTGAGCATCTGTTTGCGCTTCAAAAGAGCATCTCCAACCCAAGCTCTTTTTAAAAAAGTACCCCTGTATACATTTCTGAAGAGCGCCAAATATGTCCCAGGAGCTATGTTTTTTGCATGTTTTGTTTTCGCGTATCCAACAGAGGCCGCTGTGTACGCATTTTGAGATCTCAAATTTCTCTCGCGAATGTCATTCATGCCTGCTTTTCCATGTAAATCCACCAGAGGTCACTGTCGTCTGACTGATCAACTGACCTACCCTCCTCCTTCCCTAAACCCAATTGATCGTGTTTTTAAAAGCAATACGAAAAAAAGAAAAGCCCTCGCCTGGTTTTTACCACGTTTTAAGATTTTACCACATTCTCACCCTGTTATTGACTTGTTTTATTGAGGGGTTTGTTTTTGTTTTACATGCTTTCTGGGACTGTTTTCTGCTGGATTCAAACCCAGTCATCAAGATCAAGTCCACTGCCATATGCAACGAGGCACTGGACAAACTGGTAACAGCAGGAAAGCCGTCTACATGGAGGTAAGCGGTCAGCTGGTAAGTGTGAAAAGGAACAGCGTCATACCGCCCTGTAGCGTTTGTAAGCTGAAATGCAACAATATGTTCCTCTGGCTACATAATTCCTGATCTCCAGAAATGTATATAGGTCTACGTTTTCTAAATGAGCCTATGTTGAGCATCTCAGGCCCCTAAAAGGCCACCACACTGTGTTCACTGCATTTCGTCTATTTATTATAAGGCGCAACTCATTTATTGGGGAGAAAAAAAAACAAGTGGCTCTCCTACCACTATAAACTACATTTCTCTGTCTGATATTTGCTGTTTATCAGGACATAATGATTTTGGTCTCTTTTGTTTCTCATTGGAAGGAAACGCGGCTTTGTTTCATGCAATATTCCAGTTTTGCTCATAAATCTAATTCACATCTTTGAATGGAAATCTAGTTAGGGACTTCCTTCCATCCATTTTCCTCCGCTTATCCATGGTCGAGTCGCTGGGGCAATAGTATTTTTATAAATAATCATGGCAATGGTATTTTTAATAGTATTTTTTTCCTACAATGGAAGTTAATGGCTACTGGTTTCCAGCATTTTTCAAATAATCTTTTTTTGGGTTGGACCAACATTAGGAAGAGTAAATGGTGAGTAAATATTCATTTTTGGGTGAACTATCCCTCTTTAGTGTGTGTGTGTGTGTGTGTGTGTTTCACTTGGCGGGGTCTTGACAGAGGCTGCAGTCGGGTCTCTGATCGGCCTGCGGCTCCAGCTGAATGGTGACCGAATGGAAACTGTATTTGGTAAAACAGACCTGGGTCATTTCTCGAAGCACCTCCTGTGGATCCACAGTCTCATCTGAAGAGTCAGAAATGAACAGACTGTTAAACTGAAAATATTATGTACTGTCATTAGGACCAAAAAAAATAATAATTAATAAAAAATAGTTAGGACAACACGATGGCTCAGTAGTTAGCACTGTGGCCTCACAGCAAGAAGGTTGATGGTTCAAGTCTATGTTCTGGACTTGCATGTTCTCCCCGTGTTCGTGTGGGTTTCCTCCAGGTGATTTTTTTTTTTTTACGTGAATTAAATTATTGGTAGGGAAAATTTCAATAGATGGATATTGGTGTCCCCTCCTTCCATGCTAAATCTATGCCCCTGCACACTATAAATTGGTGTAAATTAATGTAAAACTATTAATTAACATGGATTGGTGTGTGTATGAAGGGGAGTTACAGTGTACTGTGATTTATACAGTGTAATGTTTTGCATATTAAGGCAAGTTGATTTATACAGCAAATTTCATACACAATGGTAATTCAAAGTGAAGGCTTAAAAAAGCAAAAGAAATAAATAAAAACAATGAATTAAAATGATTAAAAGACAATTAAAAGGTTAAAACAGGTTTAATAATTATATGTAACTTGAAATGTGCTATAGTACTCAAAAGGAATGATGATAATAAATAATATATAAAAGAAATAAATCGACTGTTACTATGTCATAGCTCTGGGGAATATTTCTGACAATTTCAAAGGCTGTATAGCAGTGTTTCTCAACCACGTTCCTTGATGACCACCAGCTCTGCACATTCAGATCATCAGCTCATTAGCATTGACTGAAAGACCAGTAATTTGTGTGACAAAGGAGACATCCAAAACATGCGGTGCTGGTGGTCCTCCAAGAACATGGTTGAGAAACACTGTTGTATAGTACTAAATGATTGTAATTAAAAGCATTACCGGTGGCCACATGAGCAGAAAGCACAGCCTGGTTCATGGTCAAGGCCCAGATGTGCAGGTTGTGCACGGCTTTAACACCCTTTACTCCCAGCAGAAGCTGACGCACTTCATTATAGTTCACTCCGGCTGGTGTGCCTGTGCAAGAGAAACACTGAGGATTAATTATGATCCACATCATCTAAAATATGCTTTAATGAGGAGAAGAAATTCAGATGCACATGAAAAAAATTAACCTTTCAGAAAATGCATACACATTTTTTTTTTTTTAGAAAACTACACTTTACTTTAAACACATACTATCATTATCAAATTTATCATTACTGTTAATTTTATACACAGCTCTATGGAATACCTGATTCTGATTGGCCAATTACAATGGTCCAAGATATGTTAATGTTATAAGAGATCATTTACATCCAGCTGGTTGTTCAGAATGAAGCCGGAGAGGTTTATCAGGTTAATAACAGCAGACTGAAGGATTTATTCAGTGAAAACAACCGGCATGATGTACATTATCCTGATTATTACACGTTTTTCTGGAATACGCGATTCTGATAGCAGCTGTTGTATAAGACTGAAGGGTTCATTCTCCAATAAAACAACGACTGGATGTACATTATACTGCTTATTACATTATAACTGCTTGCCAGTTGCCGCAAATGGCTGAATTAAAGATATGGATAAATAATGCTCAGTTAGGTCAACGTTAAAACATTCAAATCGTAAATTTTGATAGCCTTGGTATGTCTCTTGACCACTTGGTATTTTTTATTTTACTTTTGGCGACACTGTGGCTCAGTGGTTAGCACTGTTGCCTCATAGCAAGAAGGTCGCTGGTTCGAGTACCGGCTGAGTCAGTTGGCATTTCTGTGTGGAGTTTGCATGTTCTCCCCATGTTGGCGTAGGTTTACTCCGAGTGCTCCGGTTTCCCCCACAGTCCAAACACATGCGCTATAGGGGAGTTGGTGAACTAAATTGGCCATAGTGTATGTTTGTATGGGTACTGGGTTGCAGATGGAAAGGCATCCGCTGTGTAAAACATATGCCAGAATAGTTGTTGGTTCATTCCGCTGTGGCAATCTCTGAAATAGAGACTAAGCCAAAGGAAATTGAATGAATGAATATTGTGGTATGTAACTGTAAATTTGTTTTGACATATACTTTAATTAAATTTTTTTTAAAGTGACTTGCAGGGGCTACAGATAAAAGAAATAACCTTTAGATAATTCTGGTACATTTACAGAAATGTTTTATTAATATACCATGTCTTTGTTAAATAAACAGATCCAATTAAAATGAAAAGCTACTGTAAGTTATTGGACAAAAAACATTGATCTGAACTTTCCTCTCGAATAAGACATTTAAAAATGCAGAGAAATTGAAATAAAAATCACTTTTAGCTCAGAAAAAAACAACTCTTCATTTGCATGCTCATTATTTATATTACTTCAAGTCCAAATAAAGTACCAATGATTTGATTTGCATGTAGGATTCATATTAATACTTTTAATTAGCAGCAGTTTTGTTTGTTATTGTGCATTTATCATGTCGCTTTTGTCATTTTCCCTTTGTGTTAGTTTTGTTTAAAGTGAATATCATAAGATGCATGTAGAACATTATTCTTTCAAAATATATGCAAAGTCTTCATTGTTTCATGGGGATAATTCTGGTACATTTACAGAAATGTTAACCCTGTTAACTTAACAAAAATAAATAATTAAAATTATTAGACACAAATATTAAAATCTGAGCTTTCCTGTTGCATGAAAGACAACATGATCAGCTTTACTAAATGACCCCTCTGGAGATTAAATTCAAAAGCAAAGTCAACAAATAAAGCCTTTTACCTTCCATCAAGACGATAACAATGTCCCTCATGATGGTGAATGTGGTTCCCAGGACGAACAAGGAAAACAGGAAGGTGCAAATAGGATCTGCAATTTTATATTCAGGCTGTAAAAGCAAAGGAAGAGTTCATTAGCGGCAGCACAGTGGCTCAGTGGTCAGCACTGTCGCCTCACAACAAGAAGGTCGCTGGTTCAAATCCCAGCTGGGTCAGTTGGCATTTCCGTGTGGAGTTTGCATGTTCTCCCCGTGTTGCTGTGGGTTTCCTCCGGGTGCTCCGGTTTCCTCCACAGTCCAAACACATGTGCTTCAGGGGAACTGGATGAACTAAATTAGCAAGAGTGTGTGTGTGTGAGAATGTGAGTGTGTATGGGTGTTTCCCAGTTGCAGCTGGAAGGGCACAGGCGGTGTAAATCACAGACTGGAATAGTTGGTGGTTCATTCTCCTGTGGTAACCCCTGATAAATAAGGGACTACGTCAAAGAAAACTGAATGAATAAAATTAGTTCATTAGCATAATCATGGTAAACTTTATCTAAAGTTATCATTATATGCTTCAATGTTGAACTAAAAAATATTAAGGGACTACTTTTGATCTTTTGGCAATCTATAATGAATTTGTGATTATTATTATGATTATTAATTATCATTATTAAGCATTCACAATGGTATGAACCGTTATAGGGGTAGTCAAATGTGTTTATATTATCTATCATTTTAATTATTAATATTCGTATTTAACATACAGATCAGAGCAAACCATTTCTCACTATTTAGAGAACTAGTGTTGTTTTGACGTCCTTCAGGGGGATCAAGCATTAATTAAGGGGGTCAGTCCTCCCCAAATCCCCCTGTAATTCACACACTGAACACTAGAGTTAAGTGAAGTTTAATTTTAAACTAATTTTAAGAGGAGCACGTGCTCATGATTGACCCAGCTGGCCTACATTATCTAATCATGATGGTCTAATTAAAGGATCCTAAGTCACTATATATGAAGAGTTTGGTTGCAAAACTCAATAAACACCATTTTTTGACATTTAGATTTTATTATTGGAAATCACTGTTCAGATGTACCTTAATCTATGTGTGAATTGCTGCCATTAATAACATTTAAGAATGTACATTTTAGGCCTACAACAAAATTTATTTTTTTCACAAAACGCAATATCCGCCAGACCGTTTTCTTTACAAAGTGCGATATAACAGTTATAGAATGTTCAGGATGCAGTGCAAGCTCAACATCTCCTGTGAAGAGAGTCCCCGCCAGTGAAGTGCTCCGAGTTTGCTCATTGATTTAGCAAAGCAAAGTTGAAGAAGATGAAGCCTTCAACTTCACAAAAAATGTATAAAAACGCTACAAAAGTGGACCAGAATATAATACTCCTGCGTCTGTTAACAATACACAAATGCAGCAGGAAACGAGTCTCCGCTGATGTCAAGAGGAGGCCAGGGAGTGCCTTTTTTCCTGCGCTCCTCCCCATCACAAAATACCTGTCTGCAAGGGGACATTTCTAAGTGTCCTTTGTAAGTTTATTTTTTTAATAATTTCTTACATGTAGCTGAGTGGCCTATCTGAATATTTATTTATGCGGTTGCACCTATTATTTATAGCCTAAAACCTCACGTTAATTCTTGTTGTTGTTAATTTATTATAAGGGAACATAAAGGGCACAGGTTGTTCTGGAGAAAAATAAACAGTTTTGCTTTTTCACAACAACCAATAAATAAGCTATTATTATTATTATTATTATTATTATTATTACAGTAAAATAATTCATTAAATATGACAGGGCGAGACGAGCTTGTATCGCGGACTCTATGTGCAGCAGAGAACTGTGACTCCGCCCGCTCTGATCATACAGGTTTGGTTTTCAGCAGCGGTGTGAAGGAGCTGCCCTTCACTCTTTCTGTAACAAGCTACAAGTCGTTTATCTAACTAACTTAATCTTACTTATCAAACAAAACATTGATTCACTCGCTTTTCTTAAGGTGGATATATAGTGTTTTGCAAAAAAATAAAAAGTTATGTTATGTTGTGTACATTCTGGCCAAATTTAACTCAGAATCTTATTATTATTAATCAATCTTTGTATTATTCCATCTATTTATAATGTATAGTTTTTTTAACCACTTTAAGATGTCTGACAATGTTAATTAAATAATATGTTGCATTTTGACATGCTTTTTGACCTATTTATGAACTATTTATAGACATAAAGTTAAACAAAAAAATATCCTGTATATGAAAATATTGTGTTCATGGCCTTCACTGAGCTCAAGTAATAGTTTCATGTATAAAAATTGTGAATGAACTTGACAGTTGATGTCTTAAATAATAATGTCAAATAACCAACAATTCTCAAAATGGATAAATCTCGCTTTGCAACGAAACTCTTCATATATACCCTCATTTCCTTTCTACAACTATCTTCGTCTGGAAGAAACCCCCCTCCTTCTTCCCTTCTTCCACCTTTATCCAGATAGGCGGCACGGTGGCCCAGTGACTAGCACTGTTGCCTCTCAGCAAGAATACCAATCATGTCAGGTCCTCGCTGGGCCGTCTGGTATTTCTGTGTGGAGTTTGCATGTTCTCCCCGTGTCTGCGTGGGTTTCCCCCGGGTTCCTCCCACTATCGAAATGTGCTCTATATTATAGATAAAATAGGCCTAAATCTTTTTTCTAATGTCTTACTCTAAACCAGTGGTTCTCAAAGTGGGGGTCGGGACCCCCCGAGGGGTCGCGGGGCAATGAAAGGGGGTCGCCTGGTGATTTCCAAAAATTTATTTATTTTTATTAAACCATAAGAATTAACATATTTTATTCATAACTATACTGAAAATAAGAATAGTCGTTTATAGTTACTATATACTATATAGTTACTATAGTAGCTTATAGTTACTAGTTCTATTGAACTGCGACCCCTGGGGTAATTACATTATATTAAAGGCAGCAATAGCGTCAGATGCATTTTGATTTTATAACATCAGGTTATACTTTCTGGCACATTTAAAGCACTGACACAAATTTAATTGGTGTGTCTGCGTCATTGCATGCAAGGTTTCTGTATTTATAACCACCTCAGAGGATATTTTGGGTCGTGAGTCACTGGCATTGTTATTTTGGGGGTCGCGGGCTGAAAAGTTTGGGAACCCCTGCTCTAAACCTTGGCCTCAGCAGCGGGGAAGTTTGGAGATAGACCTGAGCTCAATCTCCCCTGCAAAAGAGGGGAGCCCTGGGCCCGAGGATCCCTTGAGCTCAGGGCTCTCTCCCGGGACAGCACGCCAAACAAGCTATGTATAAATCGTGAGCTAAATGTGAACTCTTGAATTACCTTAAAAAAGATGATGAGCGCGCTGACGAGCACACTGATGCTCTGCAGCAGATCTCCAATCACATGCACGAACGCCGCCCGGACACTAGCATTGGCTTGAGTTTTCCCAGGCCTTTGCTCCTCCACATCATGATGGCTGCCATCTGAATGGCTGTGTCCGTTTTCTTTCCCGTGATCATGGCTGTGTCCGTGTCCAGCGCTCAGACCACCGTGACTGTGTCCATGACCAGACTGATGCAGAGTCAGAGCCATTCTGCACAGAGAAACAGCACGTTTAGAGTCCACATGAAATCAAAACTGTCCATATTGATTGTGTTAGCTCACATTGCTAGTGGTGAATAATTCATCTGTGCAGGTCGTTAAGAAAGAAAAATAGTTTGCCCTGAAAATCTGTTTGTTTTGAGTTCATTTATCAGATTAGGTCTGTCTGAGGTATTGGGCGGGGCCAACATATTTAACCACGCCCCTCCAGGCTGTCAGTTTTGACAACAAACAGAAACGGAGGAGGTGAGGAGGAGTCTGTTAGGCTGTAATAACTCTCCTCAAAACCTTTTCTTTCACCCCATCTTTCCCCATCTTTCTGAATGAAACGCCCACTTGAACACATCCAATCAGCTCATGGTAGAAAAAAATAAGCCACACCCACTACTTTCTCATTTAATATTACGTTTCTCGAGGAACTGCGTCACAATGTAAAAAAAAGCGGTCACAGCTTCTAGCTCATGTGGACTTTAAAGGGACAATTCAATATAATAAACAAAAATAAACAATATATATTATGGTTCTTGAATCTGATTGGCTGATAGCCGTGATAGATTTAAGTAATATCAGCACCCGTACAGCCTCTTTACCCTTTGTGTATTACTCCGCCCACATACAGCCAGCAGAAAGCAGACACTACAGATCTGAAGTTTAAAAGATGCTTGCTCAGCTGTTTAACTGTCAGCTTATGATTTGAATCCAACGCAGAAGAAAGTAGTTCCTCATACAAAAGGGTTTTTGAGACTCTCCATGCTTGATTTTGTTTTTATATACACAATTATGCCGTCAAACTGTTGTATAAATGCAATATCACACCCGTAGCAGTGCGATATGGCTGTATATCGGCACTGGTGGGGGCACTAAGGCACTCCCACCAGTGCCGATATACAGCCATATCGCACTACTACTCATGTGATATTGCTCATATATATATATAATATATAAATATATATATAAATATATATATATATATATATATATATATATATATATACATAAATAATTTTTTACTGTTTTTTCAGTATCGTTATTCTTTCAAAACATGCATAAAGTCTTTAAATGTATTACAAAACAGCAAATGGTTTTGTGAATTAAATGTTTAATTTTTACATTTAACAAAACAAATTATAGTAATAAAATTTAACGCATCAAAAACTGTGTGTCCCACGGTCAAACCAGCTGAGAACCACATTCACAGCAATACAATTGACTTCACTGAAATGCCAAAAAGCCTAATACAGTTAGTTATTATAGACGGGGGCTTTAAATAGTGCTCAGAGAGGGTTTTGTCTCACATGATGTTGGCCAGAACAGCGCAGCCGGAGGTGATGAGCATGACTGTGCCCTCAATAGTGAAGTTATCATTGATGATTCTCTCCACAGCCAGATACACCAGCACTCCGGTCACCAGCCAGATGGTGAAGATGGACAGGAGAGCACCCAGGATTTCTGAAATAAACGACACAAAATTAACCAATTATATTCTTCTTCTTTTTTGCATTTGTTTTATTTTTGTCATTTAAAATCAGGATTATTTCACCAGCTACCGCAAGAATAAAATGCCCTAAAATTGACTATTTTTAATTATTATATGAATAATTGATGCAAGAGCTCTAAAAAATAAATGACGCAAAATTAACCATTGATAATTTTTTTTTCAGATACATTTACATTTCACTGTTTTATACTTTTGTGGACGTAAAGTTGAATTGCTTTAAAATACAAATATTTTGTAACATTATAAATGTCTTAACAGTCACTTTGAATTAGTTTAATGCATCTTTAATGAATGAATACATAAACTGTAAAAACCTTTAGACAGTGGTATATTTAGTTATTTATACTTGATTTATTTGTATTACTTTATGTATGTATATATTTATATATGCATTTATGCAGGGCCTAAAAGTACAATCTGGCAAATGGTGCTGCTTTTTTGTGCTCTTTTTATAAATAATTTTTAAATATTTATTTTTAATAAAATAAATAAATATTTTTCATAAATATTTTATAAAATATTTATTTTTATTTATTGTTTTATAAATATTTTTAAATTTCTTTTTCATTTTGAAATGTATTTTTATAAATATTTTTATAATAATTTATTTGTATTTATTGTTTTAAAAATTTATTTGGATTATTATTTTTTTATTTATGCATTTTTATAAATATTTTTATAAATATTTATATTCAAATGTATTTTTATAAATATTGTTATCATTTTTTATTTATTGTTTTATAAATATTTTGATTATTTTTAAATACATTTTTATAAATATTTCTCTGTAATACAAATATATAAAAATATTTGTATTTATTGTTTTGTAAGTATTTTTAAATATTTTTTCTAAACAAATATTTATGCATTTTTATAAATATTTTTTTATAAATATCTTTATAACTATTTATTTTCAAATGTATTTTTATAAATATTTTTTATTTATTGTTTTTTATAAATATAATTTTATTATTGTTAAATGCATTTTTAAAACTATTTTTATAACTATTTATTTTTTTAAATGTATTTTAAAAAATATTTTAACTTTTTTCATTTTTAAAAGTATTTCTATCATTTGTAAAAAAAAATATTTATTTTATATAATTAATAAATAAATATGTTTTATAAATATTTTTTATTTAATGTTTTATTAATTTATTGTAATTATTTTTTATTTTATTTTTTATGTATGTATTTATATAAATGCTTTTATAAATATTTATTTTCAAATGTATTTTTATAAATATTTTTATAAACATTTATTTTTATTTATTGTTTTTTTATATTCATCTTTTAATTCATTATTATAAACATTTTATATATATTCTTTTATCAGCTATAAAACTGTAAGTGCATTATTTGAGTCAAAACATGAAGAACTGAATAACTATTACACAAAGCAATAGCATTATTGCAAAATAATCCTCAATAATCATAATAAACAATCAGTTACACTTAGATATTCAGATTTTCCAGCAGTGGTGTGAGTTAGTTCACCAAGCATCACGTACACCTGACTGAAACACATATATAACATTTGACATGTGCAACGAAACATCCTCCAGTGCTTTATGAGAAGGAAGTATTTCTGTAAAATAAATACATCCTGATGGAATTTACCAGGCTATACTTTATCATCCACAAGTAAATACTGATGATTTATCCAGCACACGTATGAATGGATGCAGAACACAGAGAAAAGCTGACCTTAAAGAAGCCTTTGTTATAATCAATTGGAGGTAAAACCCATTTAATCCAGCGCTCTGTTTGATCCTTATCCTTATAAGCATGTTAAGTTAAATATACAATTGACGCTAAATTCTGCCACGTAGAAATGTTTTTAAGTCATAACTTTGAGATGAAATCTAGTCTTTGCTTCTCACTTAACCATAACTACTAATGAACAGTTCATATCTTAATAATGGCAGGTAATAAGCCAGTAGTTAATTGCTTGTATTGTGACCTAAACTAAAGTGTTACCGATGAGTGTTGATTTTACTATGCAAGAGTTTTGCTGTGATGTAGTACAGTGATTTACCTGCTCGATGCCAGCCGTAATTAAGAGTACGAGTGGCAGGTCTGGAGGAAAGCCAGAGCGAACACAGACTGATGATGAAGCTGGTGAGATCCACTAGAAGATGAGCTGCGTCCGTCATCACTGCCAGACTGCCAGCAAAATACCCTCCTGAACACACACAAACACACACAGAGATGAGAGGAGGGTGGCACGACACGCATTCAGATCGGTGTTTTCCATTTCTTTATGGTTGTGAATTGCATTATGGGATGTCGATCTCTGCTCTGTCAACTTTTGATGATGAAAATTCAACTCTACAGATTAACAAAGTGACCTTTACTGACATTTTAGTAGTTTGACATAATATAATGGCAACCCAGGCTCATTCTGAGAACGTATCTCTATATACATTTCTGGAGAGCGCCAAATACGTCCCAGGAGCTATGTTTTTTTTTGCAGTTTTTGTGTTTGCGAATCCACCAGAGGGCGCTGTGTGTGATTTTTCAGATCTCAAATTTCTCTTGCGAGTGGCATTCGCGCCTGCTGTTCTCATATAAATCCACTAGAGGCTGCTGTTGACTGACTGACTGACTGACTGACTGACTGACTGACTGACTGACTGACTGACTAACTGACCGATCGACTGACCCTCCTCCTTCCCTAAACCCAATCAATTATGTTTCAAAAGCACAGATTGACCCGATCACCCCTTTCCCTAAACCCAACCGATAGTGTTCAAAAGCAATCCAGAAAAAGAAAAGCCCTCGTCTGATTTTTACCACATTTTCAGATTTTACCACATTCTCACCCTGTTATTTACTTGCTTATTTCATTGTTTGGCTTCTGTTTTTGTCTTACCCGCTTTCTGGAACCATTCTTCACTGGACTCGAACCCTGTTGTCGTGGTCAACTCCTCTCTTCATCTCAAATCCACCGAGGTACATAGCGAGCTACTGGACAAACTGGTAACAGCGGGAAGAGTCGTCCACATGGAGGTAAGCGGTCAGCTGGTAAGCGAGAAAAGGAACGACGTCATACCACCATGTTGTGTTCGTTTTAAAGATGAAATGCAGCCATACAGACCTCCGGCTACATAATTTAAGATCTCCAGAAATGTATATAGGGCTACGTTTTCAGAATGAGCCCACAACTAAATTGGCCGTAGTGTATGAGTGTGTGAATGTGAGAGTGTATGGATCTTTCCCAGTGGTGGGTTGAGACTGGAAGAGCATCTGCTGCGTAAAAGATATGTTGGCGGTTCATTCCACTGTGGCGACCCCTGATAAATTAGGGCCTAAGCCACAAGAAAATGAATAAAATGAAGAAATTATGTCTAGAGAAATATATCTGTAAAATAACCGAACATTTTTGTAGTGTATATATATATATATATATATATATATATATATAACACCAACTTAGTCAATATAGCACTGTACAGTATTAAAATTGGTTTAGAAAGTAAATTTTTCAACTTTTTAAAGTTGTTGTAAGAAAGAGCAAGATCCAATAAAGCAATTGAACAGGAGAAATAAATGGGGGGAAATAAAAACATGAATCCAAAAACAGAAATTTGCTAATTTATGAATATTTTTTACAGTGTATATATTTTTACCTAATTTATTTTATCTTTGCCAAGATGACAGTACATGAAATTTTACTAGTTATTTTGCAAGATAATAGTATTCAGCTTAAAGTGACATTTAAAGGCTTAACTAGGTTAATTAGGCAAGTTATTGGACAACAGTGGTTTGTTCTGTATACAATCAAAGACTAACGCCACATTCACACGAGGCTTCAGCGTCAACGCTTGACTGAAGGCGTGTTTGAAGTTGGGGCTGAAGCGATCGTCATAGAAGCGTCAGCCAATGAAATTCAGTCAGCAATAGGCTAATATCTGAGCTGGTGAACTTGCATACAGCAATCTGATTGGCTGACGCTTCCATCGGCGCTTGAAAAGTTGAGCTAGTCCCAACTTCTGCAGCGAGCAACTCCTCTGAAGCGGCGCCGACAGATCCACAATGCAGTTAGGCAACGCCTGATGCACCCATTGAAAGTGAATGGGAAGCGTTGACGCTAACGCCCCTTGAGAATGGGGCGTAACCGAGGGGACTAATAATATTACCCTAAAAATCATTCAAAAAAGACTTAATACTACTTTTATTCCCATTCCCAACAAACGAAATAAGACTTTCTCAAGAAGAAAAAATATTATAGAAAACACTGAGAAACATGTTGTGGTAAACATCGGAAAAATAATACAGATTTCACAGGATAATTTTGCATTCAACTGTTCATTCCGATTAGTGATTTTGCACGCTGAACTTACATCCATAGGTTATTCCTACACAGGCTCATTCTAAAAACGTAGAGGAGATTTTCCAGAAGTACGTATGGCTGTATTTCCTTTTTAAAACGAACGCTATGGGGCAGTATGATGCTGTTCCTTTTCGCGCTACCAGCTGACCGCTTACCTTCGTGTGGACGGCTTTCCTGCTGTTACCGGGTTGTCCAGTGGCTCGCCATGAATGTTGGCAAACTTGAGATGCAGCAAGGTGTTGACCGCGATGACGGGATTCGAGTCCGGTGAAAAACGGTTCCAGAAAGCAGGCAAGACAAAAACAGAAGCCAAAAAATAAAATAAACAAGTAAATAACAGGATGAGAATGCGGTAAGATCGGAAAACGTGGTAAAAATCAAACGAGGCCTTTTCTTTTTCTGGATTGCTTTACACTATTGGTTGGGTTTAGTTGGTCAGTCAGTAAATCTGTCATTCGACATCTGCCTCTGGTGGATTTACATGAGAACTGCAGGTGTGTATGGCACTCATGAGAGAAATTTGAGATCTGAAAAAGAGTACACAGTTTGCGAAAACAAAAACTACAAACAAAAATGTAAAAAGTACCGCCTGTGAAATATTTAGCTCTCTCCAGAAATGTATATAGCAGTCATAATCAGAATGAGCCTAGAATAAGTTATTCACCTTCAAAAAAGTTAAAAAAGCATTGAGGGTCACAAACCTAAAATCTCTCCCACCATAAAGACCAGACACACAGCAGAAACGATGTACAGACGCTTCTTGGCGATCTTCTTCTCCCGCTCTCGGTCCTCCAGAGCACGGTTATTATCATGGCAGTGTTTACCATCCTTCATATCAACTGAAGGCATGCTGAAGATGCAGAAATACAGATATTAATATCAGAAAACCAACAGCTCTTCTCTTGCAGAAGTGAGTCTTAAAGTACAGATGAAATACAAACGAACCATACTGATTATGTTAGTTTGCATTACGAGTTTGGTGGTAAACAATTCACCTGTGCATGTCATTAGGAAAACTGTTTGTCCTAAAATTGAAAATGCACTTCCTGTTTGTTTTTAGTTAAATTGTCAGATTAGGTCTGTCTGTGGTATTGGGCATGGCTAATTGTGCTAACCACGCCCCTTCAGCTGTCAGTATTGACAACAAACCGAAATAGTGAACAGGAGGAGTCTGTTAGGCTGTAATAACTCTCCCCAAACCCTTTTCCCCATCTTTCTGAATGACATCCAATCAGCTCGCAGTAAAAAAAATCAGCCACGCCCACTGTTTTCTCATTTAATATTCTGTTTCTCTAGCGACTGCATTACAATATGGAAAAAAAAATGGTTACAGCTTCTGGTTCATGCGGACTTTAAGCCGTTTCCACACTAACACGTTCTTTCATTTTCCTTCAGCTTAGTCCTTATTTATCAGGGGTAGCCTCAGCGGAATGAACTGTCAACAATTCCAGCCTATGTGTAACACAGCGGATGCCCTTCCAGCCGCAACCCAGCACTGGGAAACACCCATACACTCTCACATTCACCCCTATTGCACATGTGTTTGGACTGTGGGGGAAGCTGGAGCACCCGGAGGAAACCCACGCCAACAAACTCCACAAAGAAATGCCAACTGGTCCAGCCAGGACTCGAACCAGCGACCTTCTTACTGTGTGGCGACTGTGCTAACCACTGAGCCACCGTGCCGCCCCACACTAAGGCCGCACTAACACTATGTACAGTTGCCTCGAACCGGGCCAAAGTATGCTTGTCCCCCCTCCCATCTCCCCCGACGGCCCGCACTCACATTACAATCGGGCCTGGGCACGCTTACGTCATCGATGCTGCATCGATGTTCAGTGAGAAGCGCTCTCGCTCAGCACAGTGGAGATTTCTCTAGTCGTTTGATATGCAGTGACACGCAGTCAGATATTTCGCCGAACAGATCCGCCACTTTTGGCGCTCATAAACAATCATAAAGCCCTCGTGCTGCAGGAATGAGGAGGTCTGCTGAAGGTGCTGGGCACGGTTCGGATAGCATAATGTGAGTACACAGTAATACATTGTTGTTTAAAAACGGAGTAGCCTATTTAGACAGTGAATTTGAATAGATTTGTTTGAGAAAACAATTAAAACATCAGGCATAATGAGAGATGAAAATTCAGATTTTTAAATATGTTACTAATATGTAGATTTAAAAAACTTAGTTTCATAATTATAAACTGGAAAATCTAAATTATTACATATGAGATCAAAATTCTGATATTGGATAATCATGACAAAGCAATAAATATGAAATAATGTCAAAATTCTATCATTGAAAGTTTAAATGATGACACAGGCCTGCTTAGTTGTTAAACCGCCGACTGTCGTTTTTTTCCCTTTTTGACCCATGTCTGAATATTGGCATTTTTTATTTAAACTTTTTATGCAGTAATTTTGTTGTATATTATATTTATAACTTAATGTGTCCTGATTTCAGCTTTTCATCTCATATCTGAACTTTGTGTCACAATTTTGACTTTTAAATTCATCATCATTTCAACTTTTTATATTGCAATGAATTTAGGATTATAATTGTGACCCTGAAACAAACTTCAAAACTTTACTAACTGGAAAATTGTGCCAAAAATGTCAAAAATCTTACATAAAAATTAGGTTTAACCATTGTTTTACCTTTCTCAGTTTCAAAATTACCACTTTGTATATCACAGGACCTAATTGTGACATTTTAAATGATAAATTTCATAATAATCGCACAAACATCTCTTTTAAAAGCATAATTTTACCTAAATTTACAGTGGAAACTGGCTACTACACTATTATTAAAAATATTAACTTGACTTTAATTTTGACTTTCAAGTATAAAAAATAACAATGCTGAAGTATGTAAAAAGTAAAGCATTTAAAATAATCATAACATCACATAACAGGCAACGACCAAAGCATTTCTTTTCTTAAATGATTCGGTTAGAAAAGAGCGATTCATATGAATCAAAGCGACTCGCGAATCGATTCATAGTTGACTCATTGATTCAAGTCAACTTCGGGCTTCTTTTTAAAATTGCTTTAAACACACACACACACACACACACACACACACACACACACACAGGTTGTGGTTTTTGCAGCTTGTTTTAAAAGTGCGGTTGATTGTTGAGGATTTGTGGTGTTTTTACAGCTAATAGCTGGCGCGTCACCTGACTTTTAATCCATGATTGTCATTTGTAAACCTCATAGACGTCAGTTTCTAAAGCTATAATAAACTGATAATAAAACATATATTTGGTTTGTATTAATAAATAAATAGCCTAAATGTTCCCTGTATTTTGTCATTTTCTCCTCCACCTCCATCATCACTCATTCACTCACAGCTGATGGAGCGCAGTGCCCTCATTAGTGCGCATCTCTTAAAGTTTGATGGGTTTTGTAAACTGTTGTATTATTCGTGTTTCAGATGAATATGTCATTGTTCATTCATTGAGACTACATGGCTAATGAATGATATCGTTAATGAACATAACAATCAATGAGTCTGTGTTTTTAAACCTGCGGTTGTGTATTGTTTAGCTAAAGTTGTGTTAGCAAACAGCGGTCAAATGAATTAGCAGGCAGTCAGATGTTGACGTTTAGGGCGCAGTGCAAAGTTTGCACACCACTAAGACCCCCACACATCAAGAGTTAAAAAACATAATTTTCATTGTACTTTCAATGAATAAAACACTCTAAATCTAACAACAGTTCAATCAACAACATAGTGCTGAATTACTACTAAATCACAATTAGCATGGAATAAAGAAACAGTCTGTTTACCTTTCTGACATGATGGTGTACATCTTTGCACTGTTTTCCGACACCAAATGGATCTTTTCAGGTTTTTTCGTGAACATGATGTCACTTGTGATGGTATTTAATTATATGTAAACTTTTAAAAACACACTATAGCGATTTTAAACGGTTAACACAAGGGCATTAGCGATGCTGAGCGCGTCCCCGCAGGTCCAGTGCTGATATTAAAGGCTCAGTGCAAAAGCGCTGTTATTTGAAGCCTTGTGACTGAGAACCGTGTGCAAACACTTCTGATCAAACCATGACACGCTTTTCTTCCCAAAATCACCTTTAAGATCATCCCATCAGGAGACAACCTGGAGGACAAAACACCACCTTCTATATCCATTAAATGACGGCGCATTTCCAAATGTCTCCGCATAAAAAACTTACTCAACGTGAATCTCCTGTGGTGAATGTTAAAACTGCGTTATTTTTATTTTAAATATAGTAAATGCATCATAAGAGTAGGCTATAATGCATGTCATATTCTCATTATTGTGTGATATAAAGCATGCATCAGTGTAATATTTGGTGCTCAGTGAAAAAAGCGGATTTATCTGGAGCCTTGTGACTGTGAACCGTGTGCAAACCTTCAGCTGTTTGCAGATCCAGACTGAAAAAGAAATGCAAGAAAGCGATCAATTAACACGTCCTCGAAGAGCTCCGACACATTCAATAAGCTGATTAGGTTTAAGTTTAACTAATTTAATCACTGCAGTGCTGTAGACTACATCGTGTTCTCAAAAAAAAAAAAAAACAGGTCGCAAAAAGACCTGACGAAAATAAAGATGGTATAATGACACAATTCAAGTCGGACTTTTTAATTTTCACACGGATTGTATTGATGTTTAACTTTATTATTGATTAACCATGGGTGTACCTGAATGAACGTCGTCTGTAACTATATTCTCTAAAAAATTTTAGAAAAAAAAAATTTAAACTTACAGGAATAAAAACTTTTTATTCTTATTATATTTTTAAATCCTATTTATTTATTGTAGATTTATCTAATACACACACACACACACACACATATATATATATATATATATATATATATATATATATATATATATATATATATATATATATATATATATATATATATATATATATATATATATATATATATACACAGTTTCTAATAACGGATTTATTTTATCTTTGTCATGATGACAGTAAATAGTATTTTACTTGATATTTTTTAAGACACTTCTGTACAGTTTAAAGTGACATTTAAAGGTTTAATAACAATGGTTTGCTCTTTAGATTATCAGAAAATAAAATTAGCTTAAAGGGGCTAATAATTTTGTCCCAAAATTGTTTTGTTTTTTTATTTAAAACTCCTTTTATTCTAGCCGAAATAAAACAAATAAGACTTTCTCCAGAAGAAAAAATATTATCAGACATTCTGTGAACATTTCTCTGCTCTGTTAAACATCATTTGGGAAATATTTTTAAAAAAATCAAAAGGGGGCTAATAATTCTGACTTCAACTGTATATATATATATAATACTTTTAGGACATATTAAAATACTTTATAAATAAAGAAAGCTACCTATTCTCAGGCTGCCCTCTGCCTAAGCTACAGGTATGGGAGGAGTTAAACCCGCAACACAAATCACAAATTTCTCAAATCTATGGGTGCATTTTAAGTTTGGACGATGGTTCTCTTACTAGAATTAAAAAATCTTGGGAAAATGAATTGCGGATATGTTTTGAGGAAGAATGGTGGCTTGGTGCGCTGCAGAGAATACGTCTACAATTTGTGCTCAGCTTAGTCTGGTACAATTTAAAGTCTTTCATAGAGTCCATTTCTCAAAAAGCAGGCTCTCTGAAAGTTTTCAAAATATCGATGACAGATGTGATGCACCAAGGTGTAATTTGAGTTATATGTTCTTTATGTGCCCTCTGTTACAGAATTATCGGATTAATTATTTTACAATTATGTCCAAGGTGTTGCAGGTGAATGTAGACCCATCCCCTGATGTTGCCATTTTTGGGGTTCCAAAGATTTGGTCCCAATTCAATTCTAAACAACTTGATGTTTTGGCCTTTACCTCCCTAATAGCCAGGCGTCGTATTCTACTTCACTGGAAATCAAATAAGCCTCCAACTACATCCCAATGGCTTGTAGATGCATGCATTTTCTTAAGTTGGAAAAGGTTAGATGCTCTGGGAAAACTAATTTCTTTAAAAAGTGGCAATGTTTTATAACTTACTTTAACATTCTTAAGGTATTACCTTCCATTTAATAGAGGCACTCTCCTTCCCTTTTTAATTTATTTCATAGTAATTTAATCTGTTTGTTTTATCTAATACTTTTTTATACTGTTTATTTGTAAATATTCACATTCAACATTGACAATGTATCTGAACATTTGATTGTGATATTTGGTTGTAATTTTCTGTACACTTATTACTCTTGTTTCCATTTTTCTTTTTCTCTTTTATTATTATCATTATTAATAATATTTCTCTTTACACACACACACACACACACACACACACACACACACACACACATATATATATATATATATATATATATATATATATATATATATATATATATATATATATATATATATATATATATAAATATAATTTTTTTTATTCTCTTTTGTAAAAAAAAAAAAAAACACAACCAAAATAATGATATGTAACAATTCTTACTGATATAGTTTTTGTTTTTTCACAATAAAAAATATAAACATAAAAATAAAAAAAATGCTCATTCACTCATTTTCCTTCAGCTTAGTCCTTTAATTCATCAGGGGTTGTCACAGCAGAATGAACCACCAACTATTCCAGCATGTTTTACACACCGGATGCCCTTCCAGCTGCAACCCAGCGCAAATATTAAAACTTCCTAATTATGATATAGTCTTTTTGAGTCAAGTCAAGTCAAGTCAAGTTTTATTTGTCACATACATAGTTATACAAAGTATGACCAGCAGTGAAATATAGGTCAGGTCCACTCCAGAGATAGTGCAAGTATAGATAAACAAAAAATTTAATATTAAGGAAAAAGAAGAAAAAGAAAAAACGTGCAAAAAAAAGATGTGCAAAAAATTATACAAGGTAATAAGAATAGCAGCAATATGATGTACTTATGAATATGACTACTACAATGATAAATACGAAAAAATCACGTAATGTGTAACACCGGGTTAGAATTTAGTAGTTTTTATCTCATCATTTCACGTCTGAATATCTTTGAAAGACTTTATTTAAACTTGTTATCCAATAATTATGGTGTTTTATATTATAATTACAGCTTTTCACTGAACAGTTTTTGACTGTAAAAACATTATGACATTTAAATATCATAATTCTGATATATAAAGTAGGCAATATAACAATGTTTACATTATTAAATATGCTATGTTTTCTTAGTATTGGGTTGCAGCTGGAAGGGCATTCGCTGTATAAAACATATGCTGGAATAGTTGGCGGTTCATTCCACTGTGGCGACCCCTGATAAATAAAGCTGAAGGAAAAAGGAAAATGAATGTTAAGTTACAATTATGAGATTTAAAATATCCTAACTATGATTAAGACCGTGGCATTGTCACCTCACTACAAGATGGTTTGAGCACTGGCTGGGTCAGTTGGCATTTCTGTGTGGAGTTTGCATGTTCTCGCCATGTTGGCGTGGGTTGGAAAGACTGAATAAGAGCTTTGTATCACATAATTGTGACCGGTGTCTGAATATAGGCTTTTTATGTCATTTTTTTAAGTATTAATGTAAATTTTTTTATTCAATAATTAGGTTTTATATTATAATTATGATTTAACATTTCACTATTTCAACTTTTCAGAGTCAGAACTGTCATATTTTTGTCTTTTAATTTCATCCTGACATGTAAAGTCATAATTTTTACTTGTACAATTTTTATTTTTAATGACTTCTAAAATTCTGGCATTGTAAGTTTTTATTACATGACAAAAAAAGGACTTTTGGAAAATTGTAAACAATTAAAAAATATAATAGAAATATTTTTTTCTATTTTATCACAACATTTTGAGTTATAATTGTGACCTTTCATTCATTCATTCGTTTTCCTTCAGCTTAGTCCCTTATTTATCAGGGGTCGCCATAGCGGAGTGAACCGCCAACTACTCCAGCATATATTTTACACAGCAGGTACCCTTCCAGCCGCAACCCAGTATTAGGAAACACCCATACAAACTCACATTCATTCACACACTCATACACTACAGCCGATTTAGTTCATCAATTCCCCTATAGCGCATATGTTTGGACTGTGGGGGGAAACCGGAGCCCCCGGAGGAAACCCACGCCAACACAGGGAGAACATGCAAACTCCACACAGAAATGTCAACTGACCCAACCGGGACTCGAACCAGCGGCCTTCTTGCTGTGAGGGGACAGTGCTAACCACTGACCTTTTATCAGAAGCCAAAATTCTGATTCATAATTTTGACATGTAAAATTATATATTTATACAGAATTTATACAAAAACACTGAATAATAAAGACAATTAAAATTATAATTTTTAATTTCTATTTTATAATTATGACATTTAAACAATGATTAGTTCAATCTTAATGTACTGTGCAAATTGGCCTCTAGATATATTAACCATACATTCTTATAAAATTTTAACACTTTTATTATTTATTTTTTACAGATTTACAAAAGACGCACAATAAAAAAAAATATGAGAAAAAAATACTCACCGGCCACTTTATTGGGTATACTAGTACCGGGTTCCTCAGAGATTTTGCTCCATATTGACATGATAGCATCACACAGTTGCTGCAGATTTGTCGGCAGATTTGTGTGTGCCAAGAAAATCTCCCCCACACCATTACACCACCACCACCAGCCTGAACCGCTGATACAAGGCAGGATGGATCCATGCTTTCATGTTGTTGAGGCCAAATTGTGAGCTGAGCATCTGAATGTGTGAGCAGAAATGGAGACTCATCAGAGCAGCAACGTTTCTCCAATCTTCTATTGTCCAGTTTTGGTGAGTCTGTGTGAATTGTAGCCTCAGTTTCCTGTTCTTAGCTGACAGGAGCGGCACCCGGTGTGGTCTTCTGCTGCTGTAGCCCATCCGCCTCAAGGTTGGACGTGTTGTGCGTTCAGAGATGCTCTTCTGCAGAGCTCGGTTGTAACGAGTGCTTATTTGAGTTACTGTTGCCTTTCTATCAGCTGGAACCAGTCTGGCCATTCTCCTCTGACATCAACAAGGCATTTGCGCCCACAGAACTGCCGCTCTCTGGATATTTCCTCATTGTTGGACCATTCTCT